TACGTAGGAGACCAGGTCTCAGTGTGAGAAACATCTGTACGTAGGAAACCAGGTCTCAGTGTGAGAAACATCTGTACGTAGGAAACCAGGTCTCAGGGTGAGAAACATCTGTACGTAGGAAACCAGGTCTCAGGGTGAGAAACATCTGTACGTAGGAAACCAGGTCTCAGTGTGAGAAACATCTGTACGTAGGAAACCAGGTCTCAGTGTGAGAAACATCTGTACGTAGGAAAGCAGGTCTCAGTGTGAGAAACATCTGTACGTAGGAAACCAGGTCTCAGGGTGAGAAACATCTGTACGTAGGAAACCAGGTCTCAGGGTGAGAAACATCTGTACGTAGGAAACCAGGTCTCAGTGTGAGAAACATCTGAAGTAGGAAACCAGGTCTCAGTGTGAGAAACATCTGTACGTAGAAAAGCAGGTCTCAGGGTTAGAAACATCTGTACGTAGGAAACCAGGTCAGAAACATCTGTACGTAGGAAAACAGGTCTCGGTGTGAGAAACATCTGTACGTAGGAAACCAGGTCTCAGTGTGAGAAACATCTGTACGTAGGAAACCAGGTCTCAGTGTGAGAAACATCTGTACGTAGAAAAGCAGGTCTCAGGGTTAGAAACATCTGTACGTAGGAAAGCAGGTCTCAGGGTGAGAAACATCTGTACGTAGGAAACCAGGTCTCAGGGTTAGAAACATCTGTGCGTAGAAAAGCAGGTCTCAGGGTTAGAAACATCTGTACGTAGGAAATCAGGTCTCAGTGTGAGAAACATCTGTACGTAGGAGACCAGGTCTCAGTGTGAGAAACATCTGTACGTAGGAAACCAGGTCTCAGTGTGAGAAACATCTGTACGTAGGAATCCAGGACTCAGTGTGAGAAACATCTGTACGTAGGAGACCAGGTCTCAGTGTGAGAAACATCTGTACGTAGGAAACCAGGCATAATAAGAGATGCAATGAAAGTCAGTTCCCAGCCTCTCAGATCTGGAGTTGTTCTCTGTTTTAAATGATATTAAACGTCTCTCCGTGGTGCGTTCAGGTCTTTGTCCGGACTGGGAGAACTGGGATCCCAGCCAGCCGGTGGAGAACGCCCGGGAGGCCATGCAGCAGGCTGACGACTGGCTGGGCGTGCCTCAGGTAACACCAACCTTTATTTAACATTTAATACATCCATTCTAATATTTTAAATTCTCATGACCTCAAACAGAACATGAATGACCTTTATGCACTTTAACAGAACACAAAACATGGAGCATTTTTAAAACCCAGAGGAATCTGCCCGGCAACTATATAAAGAAATCAAGGAATAAAAGTGATTCCTTTAAAACAAAAAAAATGACATTACTTTTTCCCTCCTTTTCCAAGAAAGGAGATTCTACAGATTACTTCTCTCGTGCTCAAATGCTCAATTTTATCTGTAAAAACCGCCAAAGTTGGATACTAACATTTGAATCTGCATTAAAAATATTGCCCTCTGTCTGAAACCAGAGCTGCTCTGATTGGTTAGCTGGACGGCTCTGTTGTGATTGATCAACCAGCTCAGAGATGTCCCGCCCCTTTTAGCCTATCACGTATAATGTGTTGGAGCGCAGGTGTTCCGTAGTGATGTCACCATGTTCCTGAACTTTGGGATTCTAGCCTCTGCAGACCGTTAACATGCACTGACACCTACAGGATATAAGGGGCCTCTTTAAGTGAGCGGCAGCACGACTCGATGACGGACGACTTTACAGACGTCAGAGTTTCCGTGTGTTGAACTCTGTAATGATGATGAAGTGATTATAAAACAGATGTTTAATTATTCATATTTAACGAGAGCAGCAGACTGGAAACTGTTAGTCTGACGTCTGCAGGTCGGTACATTTTAAAAAGTACTAAAAATACTCTTCACTGAGAGATACTGGGAGTGGAGAAACTTTGAATGTATGGAGTTTGTATTGAATGTCTAATTGGAGATAATCTGCAAACCTAGTCCTGATTTTAAGAAATAAGAAAAATATATAATACAGCTGTCAGATATAGGACACTAACTATAACAGAAAAAAGCCAATTGTTTCCACAGAGAAGAATTTAAACAACATTCAAGACTTTTCTGAAGTTATTGAAAACCCAGTTATATTTTCTTTACTTTTGAATTCCCAAACAAAACCACCATTCACAAGGTGTGACTGAGCGTTGTCACATGTGACTACCGATTAGCATTCGTGCTAACTTAACATTGAAATTCCCATTGACTGTTTTCACACGTATTGCCAGCTGTTTCCAACAGGTGGTGAGGTCAGTATTGAACAGAAGGTAGATGACTACTTACAGACAGGTAGGCCTTCAGGGTTCAGCAGGAAACAGAGGAAAAACACCTGCTGGGCTCCATAGGCTTTCATGAAACAAGGAAACTACGGCAAGCCTTTAAGGACAAACAGCCAACACCCTCTTAAAGGATAACAATGATATACAATAAGCTCAGAACACACGTTACATAAATAAATATATGATCAAACAACAAACAGAAAAATATCATAGTTATGCAGATGATGCAGACATTTAGTTAAGAATATTTAAAATGAAAAATAAAAGGAAAGCCTGTTTATTTACCTTTCAATGTCCTGTCCCTCGTTATCTCACCTGTCCCTCGTTGTCTCACCTGTCCCTCGTTGTCTCACCTGTCCCTCGTTGTCTCACCTGTTCCTCGTTATCTCACCTGTCCCTCGTTGTCTCACCTGTCCCTCGTTGTCTCACCTGGCCCTCGTTATCTCACCTGTCCCTCGTTGTCTCACCTGTCCCTCGTTGTCTCACCTGTCCCTCGTTGTCTCACCTGTCCCTCTTGTCTCACCTGTCCCTCTTGTCTAACCTGTCCCTCGTTGTCTCACCTGTCCCTCGTTGTCTCACCTGTCCCTCGTTGTCTCACCTGTCCCTCGTTGTCTAACCTGTCCCTCTTGTCTAACCTGTCCCTCGTTGTCTCACCTGTCCCTCGTTGTCTCACCTGTCCCTCGTTCAGGTGATCGCCCCGGAGGAGATCGTGGACCCCAACGTGGACGAGCACTCGGTGATGACCTACCTGTCCCAGTTCCCCAAATCCAGACTGAAGCCCGGTGCCCCCCTGAGGGCCAAGACGCTGCACCCCAAGAGGGCCAGGGCCTACGGACCGGGTGAGGAGGAGGAACCGACCAATCAGCAATCAGTTCACTATCTTTGATATGAGACTCATTGGTTTTTGGTCACAAGCAAACAATATATAATGGCACCTCGTTAACTCTAACGAGCACATTGTACCCCAAAAAGCAATCAGTAATAATAATACTTTTTTTGCAGCCGAGATTATTTGTCACTAAATGTAGAAATAACAAACTTAAAAAATACAAAGTTTCTGCCGATCATTCCAACCTCGTGTTTATCACATTTATTTAATTATTCTTCAATTAAACAGAAAGAGTTTGTTTGACATTTAAATAATTAAATCGTGTCTGATAATGTAATAATTGTTAAAAAGGTAAAAGTGAATTTTGTATAACATTGCAATACCTTCCAGTCACGTTGAAGCATCACTGTTTGCTTTTTTAAATCAAAAAAATCAATGTGAAAAAAAGGTATATTTATAAAAAACAACATAAAAATAAATCAAAACGTCCAAAACATTTCAGACATTTCCAAAAATACAACAAAAACAAAAAGTTTGAAAATGTTAATGTTTTTAATGTTTTTGTGACGTTTAATATCTTATTTTTTTTTAAATATTTTTGGAAATCTTCTTTCAATTACCAAATGTTAAAAAAAATATATCCCAAACTTTTAAAAATATGTAAAAAAAAGATGTGAAAGAAAGTTTATAACAATTATTTTTTAGAAAATGTAAAAAAAGAAATGCAAAAGTCCAAAGAAAGGATGAAATGAAATGTCCTCACAGAAACCCTAACCCTAACCCTAACCCTTTGAATAACTCAGTCCTAAGTCTGAAGACGTCTTGCTGTCAGCCTTCATCGCGTGGAACCGGAGACGTTCTCTAACTTCCTGACGTGTTTCAGGTGTGGAGCCGCGCGGGAACATCGTCCTGAAGCCGGCCGAGTTCCTGGTCGAGACGGTGGAGGCCGGACTCGGGGAAATCCTGGTTTACGTGGAGGACCCTGAAGGCCACACGGAGGAGGTGGGAACACTCTAATTTAATATAAACTTAACACAAAAAGTAAGGAAATCTGTGTTTGGTCCATTCTTTCTTGTTACGATGCTTCTTGGCAACACATCTTATCCTAGGTGGTTAAAGCCCCCGACGTGTATCGGGTTACAGATGGGCTCCACGGCCATCGAGCCACTCTAATTCATGCTACATGCTACATGCTACACAAATACGGCCAGGATCCGTTGAATCTTCAGAATTTTGGGTTGCAGATTATAATTTTCCAAAGGGGGTTTGGTTTAGCATGAAAGACTTGAAATAACTAAAGGATAAGTTAAAGAAGAAAGTAGAAAGAAAGGGAGGTCATAGAAAACTGTTTCTGCTACAAAGTGAGCGATGATCGAGTCAGAGCTCAACCCTTCAGATGTGTGGGTCTCACTTTAATTCGCTTTGTTACTCATGTTTTATTATCTTTGCCTTTTTATAATATGTTTCTTAGTTAATGTCTTTCATCTTTGTAAAGCACTTTGAATTGCCTTGTATTGAAAAGTGCCATATAGATAAACTTGCCTTTCCTTATACCGTTGGAAAGCCTGTTCTCTTACCTTTCAAATGGCGCCACATTTGTGAGGAACATGCATTGGATCATTGTGTGGGGTGCGCCCATGAGAAATGTGACAAAGAAATAACAAAGACAGATTTCCTTACTCTTTGTAACACAACACAGTGAAGCTGACGGTTTCTGTGTTTCAGGCCAGAGTGATCCCCAACAACGACAAGAACCGGAGCTACTCGGTGGTCTACCTGCCCAAAGTGGAGGGGCTTCACAAAGTAAGAAACATGCTTACATCAGAGCTTTCAACCATCCTCATGCTCTTCCTGAGGGTTGATTAAAAGACAGATCTCTCAAACGGACCGTCCTCAACTAGAATCCTGCAAAAGCTCCACTTCAAATCTTGATTTACTGATGTGTGGGAAATAAGTCATTCATCATGAAAAAGACATAAGAAATGACACTTTGACATCTGCATCGAATAAGACCAGAAACTATCGACCAGGACGGATCTGGTTAACGCCTTGTTTAGTTCAGGTGCTTTTTTAACATGAGCATTTAAGGTGAACCTGTTAGGAAACTCTCACTGGTCCCCGGCTTGAGCTTGAATCTCTGATCCATGTATCTGTGATCCTCTCCAGAATGGAAGTAGTCATCACATACAGAGCATCAACTAGTTCCTGAACAGTGTCCTTCACATGCTGATATCCAAGAGAGGGAGTTCCACAGTCACAAGATGGAGGAATAGAAAGCAGTATTCAATGTTTACTTCAGATTAGCTCCACGTCAGAAATGATCATGCTTGTCATTATGTCTCTCTCCATAGAGGCTGAATCATCATGTTAATCACAAAGCTATCATATGCCTCAAACAGTCCTGATGCTCTTCTAGGTAATCACACATCCTGTCATGTTCACAGCTACAGTTGATACCTTTGTTATCATGTTACTCTGTGTTTGTGTGTCCAGGTCAAGGTTCTGTTTGCGGGGCAGGACATTGAGCGGAGTCCCTTCATGGTGAACGTCTCGAAGGCGCTGGGCGACCCGAGCCGGGTCCAGGCCCGCGGGCCGGGGCTGCAGCTGAGCGGGAACGTGGCCAACAAACCCACGTATTTCGATATTTACACCGCAGGTAACCAGAGCAGCTCGGGCCAGATTTGAGTTTAACGCAGATTTAGGGTTTATACTGTACGGGATAAGAAGGAACCATAGTTGGAGCGAGCTCCCCATTCATCATGGTTGGGGTTTCTTTAAATAAAAAAAAACTGGACTTTGTTTTCAGTCATTTTTTGCAAATTGTTCCGATCAAAAATATGATGTTTGTAGAATTTTTTTTAACTTATTTAAAAAAAAATGTTTAACTCATTATTTTCTTTGTTTTTACTTATTAGTTTCTTTTTTTTTACGTCTCTGGGCAGCTTCCAGCTTTCCCTGACAGAAACTTCCCCGACACCCCGTATTCAGAATGGATTCCTAAAGTTCCTTTCCTCCCCGAACGTCATATTAAAGTCTTGTTGTTTCTCCGCCCAGGCGCCGGAGCCGGAGACGTTGGAGTCGTCATCGTCGACTCAAACGCCCGCCGGGACACGGTGGAGATCGTGCTGGAGAACAAGGGGGACAGTATTTTCCGTTGCACCTACGTTCCAGTCCTGGAGGGGGCGCACACCATCTGCGTGACCTTCGCCGGGCAGCAGATTCCCAGAAGCCCCTTCACCGTGAACATCTCAGAGCGTAGGTTTCACACCAGTCTGCTCTCCATGGTCCTTAAAAACATCAATGTTTTAATATTTTTGTGAATTACTTTCCGTGTAACATCAACCAGAAACGGATGTGGTGCCTAATGCACGACTTTCTCATAAGAGTCACATTGAAATCTGAAATCCTGACTAACGTTTTTTTAAAGTTTTTGATTTCCACAGCAGTTAAATCTGCAGATCCTGCCCAATGGTGGTCTACTGGTGGTCTGCTGGTGGTCTACTGGTGGTCTACTGGTGGTCTACTGGTGGTCTACTGGTGGTCTGCTGGTGGTCTGCTGGTGGTCTACTGGTGGTGTACTGGTGGTTTGCTGGTGGTCTGCTGGTGGTCTACTGGTGGTCTACTGGTGGTCTGCTGGTGTTCTACTGGTGGTCTACTGGTGGTCTGCTTGGTGTTTGACTGTTGGACGGAGAGTAATGGGTGTTTGGATGGACTTTATCCTTTACTATCTTTGATGTGGTCCCTATCTCTCCTGATTGGTCTAAGATCATATTCCAGACTTGGCTGTAAGGGGTTTCTGAACATAGACAGAAGGACCAAAGAGCGTGTAGGAACGGCATCTAACCATAGCGCTGAGACTCTCTGTCCGGGGACATTAATAAGGATCAGACTTGGATTTTGATACCCAGACTTCAGGGTTCCTGTTCCAGATAATTATCTAGTCCGACTGAGGTTCAGACTCTCTGAAAGGGACATTTCAAGACTTAACTTTGGACTCGACTTAAGCTTCATGACTTGTCTTGCTTCTTTTGCACTTGTTTTATCACTTAGGGTTTGCTTGTCTTGGTTTTTCAATATGAAATGTCTTTATTCAGCTAGCCCTACACTGGCCAGTCCTGATGAAACCAGTAAGACTTGAAACCTTCTGTCAGGATCTGGTAATAGAGCCAGTCTGTCGGACCTGACTTAGAACTTGTACATCTTGGAACCTTACTTGGGAATGTCCAATTTTGATTTGGGACTCTAGACTTCTTTCTGTCGAGACCTGACATGAGACTTGCTGGATTGAAGGTCTCAGGGTTTTAGGGGTTTGGTGGGTCTGGATGTCTGGCGGTCTGGAGGGTTAGAGTTGTGGAGGTTTGGAGGTCGGAAGGTCTAGAAATGTGCAGTTTTTTATGTCTGGGTGTTTGGAAGTTTGAAGGTTTGTTCGTCTAGTGGTCTAGAGTTTCTGGGTCTACACATTTACGATGTCTGGAGGACTGGAGGCCATTATTCCTGGAGGCCTTGATTCATTGAGGTCTGGAGGTCTAGATGTTTGGAGGCCATTATTCCTGGAGGCCTTGATTCATTGAGGTCTGGAGGTCTAGATGTTTGGAGGCCTAGATGTTTGGACTCTTGCAGGTCTGGAGGTCTCAAATCTACAAATGCTTGCCCCCTGTTGTCCCTCCTGCAGTTTCACAGATTGCCCTCCCCCCCAGCGGGTCTCCGGTGCATAGAGAGCCAGTCTCTGTGCCTCAGACCGCCTGCACCCCCCCCTCAGACCGGACCCGGAGAGCCCCCCCCCCTCCAACGCCACCTCGATCCAGGCGACCAAGTTAGTACAGGCTGGGCTGGGGGGGGGNTTCCTACGTACAGATGTTTCTCACCCTGAGACCTGGTTTCCTACGTACAGATGTTTCTCACACTGAGACCTGGTCTCCTACGTACAGATGTTTCTAACACTGAGACCTGGTTTCCTACGTACAGATGTTTCTCACACTGAGACCTGGTTTCCTACGTACAGATGTTTCTCACACCGAGACCTGTTTTC